AACTGTACTCATCTATTTTCAGGCTGTGGTTGACCACTGATAAATACCTGAAACCCTAGGGCACAAAGCTACTGAAAGCAAAACCACGGTTAAGCGGGGATACCACCCATTGCCATAGCAGGATGAATGGGTGTTCAGGGTGTGGGTCTACGTCCCATGCTCACTGCTTCTTAGCTGTATGACAGCCCTCCCCTACGAGTCTTTGTTTTCTTGTGTTTAACATGGGGGGTAATAGCACCCCTATTGCCAGTTTATTTTGCAGCTCAAGGCAGTCTATGTAGCTGGCATATTATAAGCACTGAATAAATGGTAACAATGATTATTGTCATTATCATATTTATGGTCTTAACAAAAGACAAATTTAAATCAATGAAAAAAGTTTACTCTAACATTCTTTTTTGGGAGTGGCTGAACTCATAATCAGGGACTATATGAAACTAACTTTTCTTGACATTGTTGGAAAAATCAAGCATTCCTATGAAAGCCAGGAGAGCCAGTTTGGTTAACCCCTATCAGGCAGAGATGTCTGGCTGGTGACAGCCATTCTTGAGTAATAGGCAATAAATATCACTTCCTTCTAGAGAGTTCTCAGCTCCTAGGCCTCATGCATTTTGAAAAACAGTGTCCTTTATGTAATCAGCTGCAAAAAAACATATTCCAAAGAGAAATATACACCCCAGTAGTTACAGGGAAATTTTGCAATGCTGTCTTTCGAGAACAAATAAAGAGACAGATCTGAACCTGTGGGCCAGGCCACTTTATTTGATGTGTTCAGATTTCATGTGACAAGAGGGAATAACTTCTAACAAAGTTACTTCTAACAAAGCATAAGTAACATGACCAGGAAACCTCAAATCCCTCTCCTGAGGTGTCCCAGAGGACTCAGAAAAAGTTAAAAGCAAGCTGTGTTCTTCGTATGAAAACACCCATTTAATTGCCTCTGCAATTAATTAGTTCTGTTCTTGCCAAATTGCAGTCAGACAAATGCCCACATCAGAATGTCCCCTCCCTGGTCTTGTTAGGTGCTTGGAGGAGGGAGGTTGCCCTGACAGCAAATGTGCCCCTCATTGTTAGTTTCAGTGGCCATGTTGAGTGTTTTTTATTGGTTTGTTTTTCTGTTTTTAGGAATATGGATGAGGCTGTCAATTTAGAAAGAAAAAGTCAGGCTCTAGCACTCTGATTGGCTGTTGCTGCCCAAGCTGGCTATTCAGTTTCAGAGCTGACTCTCTTTGCTTTCTTAGATGATTCATTCACAGGAAGCTTAGTTACATAATAGTAAGTTTCTTAAAGAGACGTCATCCCATTTACCAAGTGATGGAGAGGTTTAGGTTGGCCTTAGGTGCAGTCTCAATAGGCAATTGCTACTTGGGATGACTTAAGAGGATCAGGGCCTTTATCCACTCTTCTCTCACCCCACTCATACCACCCCAGCAAGAATTTTTTTTTTCTTTTTTCTTTTTTTTAAATTAACTTGATCAACATGGGAGCAAGGACCCATTTTTGGGTTTTCAGTTCTTTGATTTAAGAAATCTCTCTAGGTACACAAGAACTAAGGAGGGATACCTCTGTTCCTGTCACCCTTTTTGACTGTTCAGTTCTTTGCTTTTTCTCCTCAAGGCCTCCCAACTTGGGGAATTTGATTTCCTACCCCGCTGGCTTTCAGTCTAGTGCACAGTAGTGCACTAGCCTGAGGAGGCCCAAGTGGTCTTCTGTCTTCCTCAAGCTGGTCATCCAAGAGTCTGGCGATAACTCTTGCTTCTCTGGTTCCCAGGACTGGGTTTCAGCTCCAAGTCTCTCTACACAGTTGGAGTTTTCAAACTAGTCTCTTTGTTTGCAGAAGTATGGGCTACAGGATGGCTACCAAAGAGTTTTCCTCAAACATCACCATCCCTGTCTTCATCATTTCCATCACAATGAACGTTCATCACTTATTTGTACCAGGTACTATAACACTCGCATTACGTAGACAGTTATATTCAATATTCATAGCAATCATGTGCAAGAGATGCTTTCTCTTTCCTCATTTTGAAGATGAGTAAACAGAGGCTCAGAGAGGTTGTATTACACGTCCAAAATCACACAGCAAGTAGGTAGTGAAGCTGCTGTGAAAAGCCATGCTCTCTACTCTAGAACCTTTACCACTCCGATATAATTTTTGTATATTTTTCCACCTTGCTCTCCTATTCAAAGATCCCTGGACGGGCCTGTCACCTCCAGGATAAAGGGGCAGCTCCCCAGTGTGGCTGTCAATGCCAGTCTGAGCTGATGCAAGCTGCATGCTTTACCCAGGACAGGACTAGTCCTTATGACCTCCCTGGCTTTTCATGTTCCGCCCACCCAGCGTGCTGGTCATTTCTTCTGACACATTATTTTCTGAATCTCCCACAAGTCATTTGAAACATCTTCTCTCACATGTGGACTCAGGGAGAGGAGTATCACACACTGGAGGCAGTTGAGGGGGGCTAGGGGAGAGACAGCGCGGGGTGGGAAGGATGGGGACAGATAACATGGGGAGAAATGCTGGATATAGTATGCACCTATGCAACAATCCGGCATGACCTGCACATGTACCCCAGAACCTAAAGTAAAAAAAAAACAAAAAAACATCCTCTCTCTTCCTGTAACTCTTTCAACCACAGACCCCACCCTAGATTTGATAAAAGTCAAGTTTATTAAATAGGACACATAATAAAGATTCTAATGGGAGGTACCTCTAAATTTTTTTAACGATAAATTTTAATATTTTTTCAAATAAATATATGCAACTATTATTGTCTTTTAAAAGAGAAATATTGCTAAAAGACAATATTAATCAGCAGCCTTGCTCAACATGAATCTTTTTCTCAGAGGCAATTACTTTCATCTTTACAGGCTGTTTCTTCTCATTTTGAAAACATTTTATAAAACAGGCACATCTAGCTACCTCTTGATTCTCCAATTTTAACCATTTTTTCTTGATTTTCTATTGTTATATGTTAAGATTTTAGCTCTTATATACTTCCACTTTCGTCAGCATCCTAAAATAGATCTATCACAATGTTTGGTTAAATTCAGCTTCAGTGTTTATATGATTGTGACTATAGTATATATTTTGTTGTCTGAATTTTCAGAGTGTTAATTTAAAAATCATTGCTCAGCCCAATATCATGAATTCTTTCCCCCATGTTTTCTTCTAGTAGTTTTATAGTTTGTGGTCTTACATTTAAGTCTCATATTCAATCCAAGTTGATTTTTGTACATGGAGGAAGATAAAAGTCCAGCTCTATTCTTCTGCATGTGAATATTCAATTTTTCCAGTACCATTTCTTGAAGATACTGTTGTTTTCCTAGTGCATGTTCTTGTCACCTTTGTAGAAAATCAGTTGGCTTTAAATGCATAGATTTATTTCTGGGATATCTATTCTGTTCCATTCATCTATGAGTCTGCTTTTATGCCAATACCATGTTATTTTGATTATTCTAGTTTTGTTGTATATTTTGAAGTCGGGTATTATGATGCCTCTAGCTTTGGTTTTTGTTTGTTTTATTTTTTTGATCAAGATTACTTTGGCTATTCTGGATCTTTTGTGGTTCCTCACAAATTTCAAGATTTTTTTCTTTCTGTGAATAATGTCATTAATATTCTGGTGGACATTGTATAGAATCTCCAGAATGCTTTGGGTATTAATAACATTTTAACAATATCAATTTTTCCAATTCGTGAACACAGAACTCTTTCCATTTGTTTGTGTTCTCTTCAACTGTTTTCTTCAGCATTTTGTGGGTAATATAGAGATCTCTCACCTCCTAGGTTAAATTTCTCTTTAGATGTCTTATTATTTCCTAGCAATTATAGATGGAATTGTTTTCTCAATTACTTTTTCAGATAGTTCGCTATTTGCATATAAAAATGCAATGGATTTTTGTGCATTGATTTTTACCCTAAAAACTTTACTTAGTTTATTAGTTCTAAAAGGTTTTTTTTGTTTTTGTTTTTGAGTCTTTATGGTTTTCTATAAACATGATCATGCCATCTGCAAACAAGGACGGTAGAACTTTCTCCTTTTCCAATTTGGATGCCTTTGATTTCTTTCTCTTAATTAGCCTGATTGCTCAGACTAGGATTTCCAGTAGTATGTTCGATAGAAGTGGTGAAAGGAGCCTTCTTTGTCTTATTCCAGACCTTAGAAAAAAAAATTTCAATTTTTTCTGTTCAGTATGATGTTAGCTGTAGGTTTGTCATATAGGGCCTTTACTGTGTTGAACTATAGTTTCTATACTTAATTTGTTGAGAATATTTATCATGAAGAGATGTTGCATTTTATCAGATGTTTTTCCTGCCTTTTCTGAAACAGTCATATGATCTTTTTCATTCGGTTACTGTGATGTGTCATGTTTACTGATTTGCATATGTTTAACCATCTTGCATTTCTCAGATGAAACTTACTTGATCACAGTGGATGATCTTTTCAGTTTGCAGTTGAATTTAGTTTGCTGTTATTTTGTTGAGTATTTTTGCATCTATGTGCATCAGGAATATTGGATGACCGGGTGCTGTGGCTCACAAATGTAATACCGGCACTCTGGGAGGCTGAGACAGGAGGACTGCTTGAGTGCAGAAGCTCAAGACCAGTATGATTGTATAGGGAGACTCCTACTTCTACAAAAAAAAAAAAGTAATAAAGTAAAGAAAGTAAAATAATAAAGTAAAAAGTAAAGAAATGGATTCATACGCCAAGTCCCCTTTAGAGTTGGCTTCTCTCACTTGCATAATGCCTTTTCGATTTATCCATAGTGTTGAGGGCAGCTGGGTGATCTTGGCTCACGGAAGCCTCGCCCTCCCAGGCTCAAGAAATCCTCCCATATTTGTCAGCCTCCCATTAGCTGGGACTGTAAGCCGGCCCGGGGCGCAGGGGGTGCGTGGGGGGTCGCAGCGCCGCAGCCGGCGCAGCCAGCTCCAGGGGGGCGCCATCGCCGGCGCCGCGAGACTGTCGTTATCGCTAGACCCCCGCCGCCATTAGTCCGCCGACGCTGTCGCCAGAACCCCACCGCTGCCGCCACAACCGCCATGGGCAACGTGCCCGCCAAGGACACAGAGCAGAAGGTCGTGAAAGAGTTCCTAGCCGGAGCCAAAGAAGATTTCCTCCGTAGATGGGAACGCCCGGTTCAGAACACCGCCCGCTTGGATCAGTTTAAACTGCTCAAGACGCTGGGCATCGGCTCCTTCGGGCGGGTGGTCCTGGTGAGTCACCGGGAGAGCGGCAGCCACTATGCCATGAAGATCCTCAACAAGGAGAAGGTGGTGAGACTGAAACAGGTCCAGCATGTCCTGAACGAGAAGCGCATCCTGCAGGCGATCGACTTTCCGTTCCTCGTCAAGCTCCATTTCTCCTTCAGGGACAACTCCAACCTGTACCTGGTGATGGAGTACGTGCCGGGTGGGGACATGTTCTCCCACCTACAGCGCGTCGGAAGGTTCACAGAGCCCCATGCCTGTTTCTATGCCGCCCAGATCGTCCTGGCCTTCCAGTACTTGCACTCGCTCGACCTCATCCACCGCGACCTGAAGCCCGAGAACATCGTCATCGACCAGCAGGGCTACCTGGGGGTGACCGACTTCGGTTTCGCCAAGCGCGTGAGGGGCCGCACTTGGACCCTGTGCGGGACCCCCGAGTACCTGGCCCCCGAGATCATCCTGAACAAAGGCTACAGCAAGGCCGTGGACTGGTGGACCCTGGGGGTGCTCATCTATGAGATGGCCGTGGGCTTCCCGCCCTTCTACGTCGACCAGCGGAATTCCGTCGTCCAAAACATCCTCTCTGGGAAGATGCGGTTCCCCTCCCACGTCAGCTCTGACCTCAAGGACCTGCTGCGGAACCTGCTGCAGGTGGACCTCTCCAAGCGCTTCAGGAACCTCCGGAACGGGGTCGGCGACATTAAGAACCACAAGTGGTTCGCCACAACCAATTGGATCGCCATCTATGAGAAACAGGTGGAAGCTCCCTTCATCCCGAAGTTCGAAGGCCCTGGGGATGCCAGTAACTTTGACAACTACGAGGAGGAAGAGATCCGGATCTCCATCAACGAGAAGTATGCCAACGAGTTTTCTCAGTTTTAGGGGTGTGCTTGTGCCCCTGTGGGTTTTCTTTTCTTTCTTATTTTTTTGGACCCTCTCAGAGCTCATCCTATGTCTCTCTTCCTATGGCTGGTTCAGATTTGTATGCTTTGTAATAAAACTGTAATCACAAAGATAGTGCTTTCCTGAGTTCTGTCAATTATTCCAATGAATTGTCAAATCTGAGGGAGTAATAAAAACCTCCTTCAATGTTTTGGAACTGGTTTGAGTTGGCCCAATTTTGTGTAACAACTTATTCATCCAGCAACTATTGAGTGCTTACAAGTCAGATAAGATCTCTGCTCCCATGGAATTTAAAGTCCACTAGTAGAGACTTTGCAAAGAGCAACAAAATGGCTAACACTTATTGAGTGATTACATATGATTCTAGGGGCTGTCCTGAGTGCTTCAGTGATTTATTTCACTGAGTCTTCATAACAGTAACATGAGGTATAATTATTAACACAATCTGCAGATGAGGAAATTAAAGGCCAGAGGGGTACACTGACTTCCCTAAGATGACATATCTGGTTGGGACTGAATATGGAATTTTCTCCACATGTTTTGATACCAAAGTCTACACTCTGAAGTAAATAAACAAATGAATATAGAATGGAAAATTGTGTAAGTGGCGTCTCCTCTTGGATGTCTGAGAGTCATCTCAAACTCAACTAAGCCAAACATTATACCTTTTCTCCTCCACTTGTAGCCCCAAATGCTTCTCACAGAAGCCAGCCTATTTTAGCTGACAGCAACCTTATCCTCCCAGTTTCTTAATCCCAAATCTTGGAGTCATTCTTCATTCCTCTCTTTCTGTCACATCCTAGTTAAAGTCATCAGTTAATCTTGCTAGTTCTGTCATGAACATTATTACTAATTATTATTATTATTATAGTCTGAGCACTTCTAGTGTTCCCAGTCTTGCCCAAGCCACCATTATTTCTGGTTTAATGGCTTTAGGGTCTTTCTAACAGGGTTCCTTGACTCCACTCTTGCCCACATAAGACTATGCTCAATGTAGCAGCCAGAGTGATTCTTTCACAATATAAATTAGGTCATGCCACTCTCCTCCGCTTAAAACCATGAAATAGCCTTCCAGCTCTGCATCTCATTAAGAGTAAAAGATGAAGTCCGTGCTGTTCATTCCACTAGCTAGAGTATAAGCTCTATGAAATCAGAGATCATTGTTTTATTCACGGATGATACATAGATGGTGTTCTGTAATATGGCTGAATAAATTAATAAGTAACCTCATTTTAACTACTCTGCTAGACATCTCAGATCAAGTATGAAGATGAGTATCTTGTTGGGAATAAATTAGTAGAGTGGTGAAGAGCACGCATTTTGGTTGCTTGGGCTCAGTTCTGGCTCCCTTACTTCCTGGATGCATACTCTTGGCCAGGATCCTTAACTTTGAGAACTGGTTTTTTGTCTGTAACATGTAGATGATAATACTTAGCATTTTCCTCACAGCTTCACATCTAGAATGACGTGAGAAACTGCATGTGAGGTGCTTACCCCAATGGAAGGAGTCATCACTATTAGTGCCTATCCTTGGAACACAATAGCTTTTGAGAACTTCTGGCACCAGATACCCAGAGTTGAGCCAAACCTCACAAGTTAAGGCTCAGTTTTCCACAAAACTGTTCTCACTTTGGACATCAATCACAACTTCAGGGATCCCAAGACCACCAGAACTTCTAACCAACCAGTTACAAATTTGGGGGTTCTTACTCCTCCCTCAATTCACTGGAATGATTGACAGAATGCAGGAGTGTGATTACAGTTTTATTATAAAGCATACAAATCAGAATTGGCCATAGGGAGAGAGACATAGGGTGACCTCTGGGACGGTTCCAATCTCCCTGTGGAGTCAGGACTCTTTTTTTTTTTTTTTTTTTTTTGTGGCTGCTGGGAGTTTATTTTCCTTTTGGTGCCAGGTGCACAGTTCCAGGTGTTAGGAAAGCTGCTCAGGGCTGGGGCGGGCCGGGCAGTGGAGAGCCGGGTCCTCACTCCTTTTTGGTGTCTGCTGTGTGGATGTGGAGGTCTGCTGGCTGAAGCCGCCTAGTCTACAGGGCGGGGGCGGGGGTGGGGGTCTCGCGGGGGTTGTGGAGGCGGGAGTGGCTCTGGTGGCCTAGCTCCTCCGCAGGCCTGGAGCTGGTGGTCATCGCTCAGGTCAGGACGGCGGCCCAGAGCTGGCTGTGCTGTGCTGACCACTGGGCTGCTTCCTCAGGGTGTTCTGAGCCAGGCCACAGGTGGTCGCGCTGCGGGAGGCCTGGTGGGGGGGGGTTCCGGGTGCTCTGCAGACTCCAGCACCATGGCCATGAACGGGAGGGTGGACTTTCCAAAAAAGAAGCTGACCCATCAGTGACTCGGGTCAGCCTTCGGGATATCCGGGTGGTGGGGAATGGCTTCTGCGGGGCACTCGGTACTACGGCAGGAGCTGCTTCTGGAAGTGGAACCCAGGCAGCGCCGGTGGTAGTGGGTGGCCATGAGTGAGCCGCTGGAGGGGATGGCCGCCATGCTCTGGCTTGCGGGCTGGTGGGACCTGGATGGCGAACCCTCCGGGCCTCGGCGTACGATCACGGGTGGCGGGGATGGGGGCACGAGGCCACCGAGCCCATTTGCAGGGGAGACCGCGGGAGGCCTCTCCACGACCGAGACGGGCGCGCCATGGAGTCAGGACTCTTTAGCATATCAGTGTGTGACAATACAGAGTACTGTCAGCAAAGGAAACTCACCCAATCTGCAATGTCCAGAGATTTTATTAGAGCTTCATAATGTAAGCATGACTGATGGAATCATTACCCATGAGACTCAAACTCTAAGCACCCTCTACTAGGATGGGCTAGGGGTCGGGTAGTCATATCATGTGGCTCAAGGCTCCCATTCTCCAATCACATGGCTGGTTCTTCTGACATTCTCAGTCTCCGTTCTAAGTCACCTCATTAGCATATCAGATGTGGTGTGAGAGATCCACCACAAATAACAAAGACACTCCTATCACTTGGGAAAGTCCAAAGATTTAGAGGCCACCTTCCAGGAACTGGTGACAGAAGCCAGCCAAATTCTTTGTTACACAATAAAGAGTAAGGAGCATGTTGAGGGTCAGTGCCATTTTCATCTCAAATGTCATCTCTGCTTTTAAGAAGCTGACCGTTCCCTTCTCAGCACTGCTATTTGCTTGTTCCAACTGGAGAAAGCAGAGGTTGAATTTTCAGTTCCCAGGCCCCATACATGAGTTCATGAGTTTGTTTTTCCTCTGCAGTCTTGTCTTTTTCCTATGACCCCTTAACTGCTGGTGTTTCCCAGGGCTCTTCATCAGGGACCCATCTGCTCACATTGTCATGCTCATACCGAGCTCCAGCGTCCATCTTTCAGCCAATCACTCCCTTGTCTCTCTCTCCACCCTGAGCCTTTCACCTGTGCTGCAAATTTCCATAAGCAGCCTCCCACAGGGCACATGCTCCTGGCCCTTCACAAACTCCTATTGGTCAGCAAGTCCCTGAAGAAGCTCATTCCCCTACCTGTCAAACCAATTTCTTCTCCATGATTCCTATGTTAGTATTGTCTTACTCTGGTTTTCTGTTGCTGTAACAGAATATCACAGACTGGACATTTCATAAAAGAAGAGGTTGTTCGGCTCATGTTTCTGGAGACTGAGAAGTCCAAGGTCCAGAGGCTGCATCTTGTGAGGACCTTCTTGATATGTCATAAAATGGCAGAAGGCATCACGTGGAGAGAGGGCAAAAGCCTGCATGTGTGATTAGGTTTCTTTTCCTGTTTTTTAAAAGACACCAGTATCATCATGGAGCTCAAATCCTGATGACCTTGTCTGATCCTAATTATCTCCCGAAGGCCCCATCTCTAATCAACATATAAATTTGGAGACTCAGTTTCCAACACATAAAATATGGGGTACACACTTAAACCAGAGCACTAATGGAACCACCTTCCACCTGACCGCCTAAGCTTGAAACCTGAGCATGACACTCATCCCCATAGCCCACCAGGACTTTAAGTCCCGTAGCTTCTGCTGTCTCAATGTGTCTCTGTATTAGTCCTGTTCCTTCAATACTTAGTCCAGGTGTTCAAGCTCTCTCAGCTTTCTATATCCCAAACAAAGCCTTTCATCTTCACTCAACAAAGCCTCTTATACTGTATTATGACCTCCTACCTTCTTGACTGTCTTCCTTGGCAGACCTCTCTAGCACCTGTTATAATGTCCAGAACATACAACTTGCTCATCCTGTGTGTGTTAAGTGAATGAATGAATGAATGCACAAATAAATGATTGAGGGGAGAAAAGGTAAGATTGGACACGAAGTTGGGGATTCAATTCTAGAGGCAGTAGCCTTTGGACAAGACTTGATGGACACAGGTGTTAGATTGTTGGGGGGTGGTGACATGATTTAAGGGATACTTCTCAAAGATCAGACAACAAAGGGACACAAAGTAAGACTACAAACACTTCCCGTAAACTTTAAAGGCTCAGCAGGGGCATTGCTGGTTGTTTAACAGTTTCCTTCAGTTGGTTCAAGGGCCTCACAGTCTGATTCCAGGGCAGGACTAGAACATGTGAGAAGAACACTGTAAAGACTTGTCAGGTATGGAGAGAGGGGATCAGGCAGGATTATCATGGCAAATAAACCTCTCCCTGGAGCCTGGGGAGATGATGAGCTCAACAATAGCATGAGTGCCTTTTGAAAACCCCTCCAAAATAGCTGGGATCTTTGGGGTTTAGCTTTCTCAACAACAATGAAAAAATATGTCATAATTGCCCATTTTAAAAAGCTTCATTCTTCTTACAAAAGGATAAAATGATCCTGGTAATTTGGAGCTCAGAGAAGAAGGCTCATTATGTCTTGTTATCCCCAGCTCCCCAGCTCCCTGCATGAAAGACTGACAACATACTTCCCCACCTCCTGTTTTCAGGCCCTTCTCTCCCTGTTAAATCTTGTAGCAATTAGCAGGCATTTCACGGCCCATTTCTGTCAAATAATGTGACTTGGCAAAATCTGATGCCCTTGTAACCATCTGAGGACTGCAAATCATTTTCTGCGTTCCAGATGAAGAGAGATTTTGAAATTCGTTGTGGGTGAGTTGCTGGAAACCAATTACAACTTCCCTGAATCCTGATCCCCTCTCAATCTTAGACTTGGGGTTAGAGAATAGCATGGACACATCTGTCCCCAAGTGTCTTGACCCTCTGAGTCATTTGCTCCTCCTTTCCTCCTTGTGAAAACTCTATTTTCTTGGTTCTACAGTATCTTACATCTTGGCTGGCTGTTCCTTGGTGTCCTGTGCAAGTGCCTGCTCCCTTTTCGACCTGCTCTGTCCTGCCCAGCTCTCATCTTGGTTTCCTTGGAGTCATCTTACCTACAATCTTAGCTTGTGTTTATGTTCTGACAACTCTCATGTCTGTGACCAACCTCACCTCTTTTCTGCATGGACCACACATCTAGTGGCTTGCCTGATCTACCCACTTAAGCATCTCATTTGTTTTTCCAACTCAGCATGTGCTGGTGTGGCCTCTTTTGCTGTTCTTTTGACTGTTAGTTGGACTGGAAACAACGTGGATCCTTCATTCAGGTAACCTCTCCAACGAATCTTCATAAAATCAAGTCTGATTGCATTGCCTTACTCCAAATCCTTCAATAACTCTGCAAAGACATTCACATCAAGGCTAAATTTCTTACAAAACCCAAGGCTTCCCTGACCACCTCCCTTTACCACACTTCTTGGTTCTGTTCATAACTTAGAGGTTAAAACCCTGGCTCTGCAGCCTCTGAGAATTTATTTCAAATTTTGGCTTCACCACAAAAAACAACAACAACAAAAAAGCCATATGCTCCTGGGAATTTTTATTTAACCTAAGCAATCATGAAGCTTCTAGCTTATGAAATGAGAGATCATAATTGTATCCTCTTACAGTAGGGGAGTTTATAGCCACAATAGTACCCACAATAGGAAGCTTGTGAGGATTAAATAGACCAATGCACATGGTATCCTGCTTGGCAAATATGCTCAAGAAGTACTACTTCTAACTATTGCCAGCTTACCGACTGCCTTAGGGTATTAATTACCTTGCTCCTTTCTCCTTGCCTCACCAGTTCTGATTTAGAAACCCTACTTCTACTGTGCAGGGGTCAGGACCTCATCCCAAGGCAGCACCTCACATCTATGTGAGTGTACAGTTTGTCTGTCTCTTGCCTGGTACTATAAGAGCCTTAAGACCAGAAACTAGGATTTTGCCAAAGTGTATTTCTCAAAACATATGATATGGTTTGGGTCTGTATCCCCATCCAACTCTCATCATGACTTATAATAGTCTCCATGTGTCAAGGGCAGGACCAGATGGATGTAATTTAATCATGGGGTGGTTTCCACCATGTTGTTCTTATGATAGTGAGTTAGTTCTCACGAGATCTGATGGTTTTATAAGGGGTCTCCCCCTTCACTCAGCACTCATTCTGTCTCCTTCTGCCCTGCAAAGAGATGCCTTCCACCTTGTTTGTAAGTTTCCTGAGGCCTCCCTAGCCATGCAGAATGGTGAATCAATTAAACCTCTTTTCTTTTATTTGAGATGGAGTTTTGCTCTTGTTGTCCAGGCTAGAGTGTAATGGCATGTTCTTGGCTCAATTCAACCTCCGCCTCCTGGGTTCAAGCAATTCTGCCTCAGCCTCCCAAGTAGCTGGGATTGTGGGTGCCTGCCATCACACCCAGCTAATTTTTTTGCTATTTTTAGTAAAGACAGAGTTTTGCCATGTTGGCCAGGCTGCTGTCAAACTCCTGACCTCAAGTGATCCTCCCATCTTGGCCTCCCAATGTGCTGGGATTACAGGTGTAAGCCACCATGCCCACCTCTTTTCTTTATAAATTACCCAGTCTTGGGTATTTCTCCAAAGCAATGTGAGAACAAACTAATACAGTAAATTGGTACTGCAGAGAGTAAGGTGCTGCTATAAAGATACCCAAAAAATGTGGAAGCAACTTTAGAACTGAATAACAGGCAGAGATTGGAACAGTTTGGAGGGTTCAGAAGAAGATAGGAAGATGTGAGAAAGTTTGGAACTTCCTAGAGACTTGTTGAATGGCTTTGACCAAAATGCTGATAGAGATGTAGAGAATGAAGTCAAGGCTAAGGTGGTCTCAGATGGAGAGGAGAAACTTGTTGGGAACTGGAATGAAGGTAATTCTTGCTATGCTTTAGCAAAGACACTGGAGGCATTTTGCCCCTGTTCTAGAGATCTGTGGAATTTTGGACTTGAGAAAGATGTTTTAGGGTATCTGGCAGAAGAAATTTCTAAGCAACGAAATGTTCAAGCAGTGACTTAGGTGCACTTAAAAGCATTCCGTTTTATATGTTCATAACGATATGGCTTGGAATTGGAACTTATGTTTAAAAAGAAAGCAGAGCACAAAGGTTCAGAGAATTTGCAGCCTGATGATACGATAGAAAAGACAAATCCATTTTCTGAGGAGAAATTCAAGCCAGCTACAGAAATTTGCATAAGTAAAGA